CAAGAAAAACCCTTTCATAAGGTAATAAAAAACCAGTCAGACAAGCTTGTGTCTTCCGTAGCCCGAACTGCGTTTGCTCTGATCTTTCATGATGTATGAAAGTACGTAGGCATAGGATGTCGTATCCTAGCGAGCAACCTTCCCCCCTTAACCCGTAGTTAGGCGAACTACGTTGACTCTGATTTCTCGTTCCAGACGGGGATACGTAGGCATAAAGTGCGATACTTTGCCGAGTCATTTTCTTTTTAACCCAGACCTTTAGAGTAGATAGAATAACACACCCTTAGATAGAAAGCAAGCGTGGATCCCGTCGAGTACGACGGACGTGAGGGGTGCTAATACCTTCCCCTTGCGTAACCGACTCCCGAATCCAGGATTTGGTTGCGATGACCATTTCTTTCCCTCTTTGCGTTAGGTTTACTCTGAGCGTTTCCTTTTCCTCTTGTGGGATAAATAACGCACAGTGGCGACTCTTCTGTCATGGCCGGCGCCGATTTTCGCAGTAGCGACAATGATTTTCAAACACCATCTGACATGTTAAATTATAAATGGAAAGATTTTCAAGTCATTTATCCATGAAAACTTCAGCAGCAAATCAAGAACCGACAACCGAATCCCACATTAATTTGAGAGGACATATATAGGGGGGGACAAGCTCAGAAATTCAGAAAACAGATTCACAAACCCTAACACACAAAGAAAAAGGGTATCACGAAAAGAGAAACTTATCTCTTTATTTTTCGACACCGTCGGAAACCGCAAAGGCGACGCCACCCTCGTCGGCGACGCAAACACTTGAGATACCATCCTCGTCTCCCATTTGGTAAACCGTTGATCTTTTGTGTGAATCTTTTGACTGTTTGTTTGTTTTCAGGTTCAAAAAAGGGAAAAGGAGAATTGGAGAAGAAAGAGGGGAAGAAGAGGAAGAACACGCAGAAGTAAATGAGGAAAGGAGGGAGAAGAAGAAGAAGAAATCCCGGAGACGAAGGAGAAGAGAGTGAGAACGAAGAGGAAGAAGATAGGGGGGCGCTTGGAGAGAAAATTAGGGTTTTCTAACCTTCTACCCCCTTTTTTTTCGTTTTTATTTGGACCGGGTTGGGTCCAGTGGGCCTAACCACCACCGGCCCAACCGTTTTTTTATTACTTTGTGCTTCTTTTTTTTTTTCATTTTTTGTTATTTGCTTTATGGGTTGAACCCAACTCGTTTTTTATATATTAACTAAAAAACAACAAAAATAAACATAATAAGCATAATAAAAAATACAATGAAAAAGAATAATAAAAATAATTTGGTTTTAATTTTTAATTAATTTCATAATTTTAATAATCTAGATTTTTAGGATTTTTCTTAGTTTAAAACCCTCATTCAATCTCAATTAATTTTAAAATATAATGAAAATAATAAAAAAAATAATCTAGTTTTTTTAGATTTTCAATTACCTAGAATTTCTAAATTTAGTTTTTTTTAATACTAATTTATTTAAACCTCCTCTAATTTCCATTAATTTGGATTTCACTTTAATTCACAAATAATAATAAAAACAAATTTAAAGTATTTAGTATTCTTGTTATTTTACCTAATTTTGACTTAGACTTACTTATTTATTTAATTTCAAATTCATTAATCTGAATCTAGCTGTTTTTTGATATCCATTTGAACTTAACCCCTAACTATGAACATTACTGTTATCTATTCTATAATGTTTGTATATCGTTTACTCTATATATCTATCACTAAGCCCATTATTCCGAAGGAAAGGTAACCCCTACTGACTGCCATGTCAATACCCCATTCCTTCACCCTATCCCTTATCCTAGCCTTAGGATCTGAATCGATGTACTCACACTTAGTGTCCCGCCGTGGACATTCTTTACCCTTCCTAGTCTTAGAATCGGAGTCGCCGTACTCCATGTAAGTTCTTGCCGTGGATGCTTACTCATCCTTTTTCAACATAACTTCAACATAGACTCGGAGTCGCCGCACTCTATGTAAGTATCTCCCTATGAGTACTTACTTCCCCCTGGAACCTTGACCACAGTCAAGAAGTTCCTCACCCTCGTTGAGGGGAACTACGAATACTCTGATTCCATCCCCTACCCAGGATACGTAGGCACAAGATGCGATTTCTTGGCGAGTATACTTAGGACTAACCCCTTAGGTCTCCTTCAACCCTTTAGCATACCTTTAACAAATAGATAACCAAATAATACATATTTAAACAAGAGGTTCCTGTAGAGTACTACAGAAGCTTAGGGTGCTAATACCTTTCCTAAGTTTAACCAACCCCCGAACCTTAGATCTCTCCGCATTGTGTTTATGATGCAAACTAGGTTTTTCCTTCTTTAACCTTTCCTTTGGATAAATAAAAGACCGGTTGTGAATCTAAGATTTGTGATTCAAATTAATCAATAATTTGATATCCTATTCTCACTGCAACAAGCCTCGTAGGGAAGGTAGATGTCCTCTGGCCGGGAGACGCACAAAGCGACCTATAGCTCGCCCTTGGCGGAAGGTGGCGTCACCTTCTCGACCTTCTTCGCCTCGCGAGTTTCTAGTTAAGGAGCCTCGTTCCTCTGAGTGTATTGTTTTAGGTGCTCTTCCTTGATAAGGATCTCGATGCAATCTTTGAGATGAATGCAATCTTCCGTGACATGCCCGTGGCTTTTGTGGAGCCGGCAATACTTAGACTTGTCGACGTTGGGCTTGGGGTGTCGGCTTTGAAAAGCGGACCCACCTCTTTGGAATTCCGAGTTGATACACTCGGCCACAATGTGCTCGCGAGAAGCGGTGAGTAACATGTACTCGGTGAAATAGTTTGCTGGCCCTCGGTGTTCTCGGGAGTCGCGGGGCCTGTCTTCTCTTCTTTTGTCCCTGCCACATCGGGGAGCACCAAAATCTTCGTGCCTAGAGACTTTGGCAGTCTCCTGGTTCTGTGAGTCGCGGGCGCTGTTGGCGGCCTCCTTCTTCTCATATTGGATGTATGACTAGGCCTTGTGGAAGAGTTCGTCCAGTGTCGAGCCTTTCGATATCAACCGCTTTGGCGAAATCACTACGGGGTCGCAACCCTCTCTCGATTATTTATCTCTTCATACCGTCCGTCGTGGACATCTGGACAGCCTCTCGATTGAATATATCTATATAGTTCTGGAGAGATTCTTCCTTCCCCTAAATGATAGCTTTCAGGGATGCCTCTGTCTTCGGGTGTCGTCGAGATGTGGTGAAGTATCTGGAGAACTGTCTTTTCAGCTCCTTCCAAGAGGTGATAGATTCAAGTTCGAGGCTCTTGTACCACACCATCGCGCCCTTCCTCAGAGTCGTTGAGAATAGTCTATATTTTATGACTCCTCGGACATTGCGGTAGCCAAGTATTGCGTCGGTGCTCTCAATGTGGTCGTCCGGATCGGTCAGACCATCGTAGGTTGCCAGAGTCGGTGGTTTCTCCATCCCAACGGGGAGGGGAGTCTCCATGATTGCCCTGGACAACAAAGTGTGGGGGTAGTCCACTTTGCTTCTGATGGATGATTGCGATGAGGAAGGGTCGTACTGAGGGCTCCTGCTGCGGCGGGGAGGGCTCATCGATCAACGCTTCGTTTTCCCCATCTGCCCGTCGGCTTTGCCCCTTTTGGGGATCGAGGATCGTCGCTCCTTCCGAGGAAGACTGCGGTTGCACTTCTGGGTTGCGACGGGTTGAGGTCTCTCTAGTCGTGGGTGACTTTCATGTTGTTGCAACAAGGTGCTTTGAGATTCGTCCAGTTGATGTCTCTATGAGAGAGAAAGGGGACGTGTTTTTCGCTAGTTGTGGACGACGTCAAATATTTTTATAAATAGTGTCAAAACAAAAATAATATTTATATATGAGAAAAATACATTGTTGATTAAAATATTTTATGTACGGAAAAAAATATTATTGTTATAAACAGGAACAACTTTACTACTTATCCAAACATTGAATAATATAAATTTATCGACCATATTTTTCAAATATGTGAAAAATATTAAAAAAACTTATTAAAAAATATTGAGTATATATTTTTAAAATTATTTCCTCTCTTATAAAATCATTCTCTTATTTGTAAAAAAAACTAAAACGACTAATTTATCTAATACAAATTTCAATAATTCATATTTTTAATCATATTATTTATAATATTACTTTCTACATTTTATATTCTACATTTATTATCATTTCAACTTAAATTTACTATTATTTTTAAATTTATTATTTTTTCAACTTTTAAATTATATCATATCCAAGAAGTAGGCACGAGTTTATTATAGGTTTGACTAAACACATAAGGACTAAACTCAAACCTAGTTTTTATTTTTTGAACAAAGAAATGATGGCGCGTAAATATGGATAAATCCAACGGTCAATGCTAATTTACCACACGCATTGCGTCTAAAGAGTACGACATATATACAATATAAATCCCTACCCTCCATTCTAATTTTCTCATTCGAATCATAGCCCTAATCATCTTTCCATTAAATTTCGCAGTTATTCGAAGTTGATTCCGATAAACGCTGCCGCCTCCACAAGACGGAGGAGATTTTGCTTGCCGATCAGCGAGGCTTGCTCCGATTCAGAACGCGCAGTCATCAAAGGAACATATATCGTTCTTCTCACAACGATTCAATTTTATCACTTAACCCTAATTGTTGCTGTGGCTTACCGCGGGTTCTTGGTTTCTTGATTTGCGAGGACTTCTCTTTGCCGAGATTGGATTCTACCGATTCTCAATCAAGATCTGAAAGGAATCTGAATTCTTTGGTTCAAGGCGTTGGATAGTTTAGATTTGTTCTCATTGCTGTGGTGTTCGATTTGTTCAATTTTTACCTTAGAAATTTGCAAGTGGTAGAAAAGAAAAAAAGAGTTTTGAAATACTGTACTATTTGTTTTGAGTTTCAATAGAAGATTTTTTACTATTTTTTTTCCATTTCAAAGGCCCTTTGATTATTTGTTTACGTGTTAATTGAAATAATAATTTACAAATTTACAATGGCGGTGTATTATAAATTTAAGAGTGCAAAAGATTACGATTCAATTCCCATGGATGGTCCTTTCATCTCTGTTGGCACATTGAAACAAAATGTTTTTGTATCCAAGCATTTAGGGAGGGGTACTGATTTCGACCTACTGGTCACCAACGCCCAGACCAATGAAGGTCGGTTTTCGTTTTAATTTAACTATTTTCTTGATTAGGTTTCTTATCATTTTTCTATTATATTGGGCCGAACTCTAAGTTTTCTATTGTTGAAAAGCTGTTCTACTGTTTCGTAAGTTACTTGTATTTTATTTTAGAAGTTAGCAGCAACCAATTGCTGTGAGATTTGTATTATGATTGTGCTTATAATAGGCTTTTCATGAAATATCATATTTACAGTGTTTAATAGTTGGCATGTCTCTTGGAATTTCAGAATATCTTGATGAAGAAATGTTGATTCCTAAAAATACCTCAGTATTAATTAGACGGGTTCCAGGGCAGGCGCGATTACCAATTGTTACTGAACCACAGTACTTTCTCAAACCTTTAGTTTCATTACTATTTGATTTCTCATGCATTGTATATGTACCTTCGTCAAAATGGGTATTCATACATTTATCATTCATGTTGTCCCTGTTCATAGATAGTGGTATAATAGATATTGCATTGTTCATTTGCGAAATAAATTATGTTCTATGTTCTTGAGTTGCAACTGTATTTCGCTATCTGTAGACAAGAGGTGGAAAATAAGGTGGTGGCAACTGAACCTGAGAACATTAGCTTACCAGCAGATGATACGTCTGCCATGAAATATGTAAGTCTCTTTTTTCTTTTCATTTTGTTTTGTATGAACAATTCAGATTCAGTGCCTTGGAAATTGATAACTTCGTACCGTTGAACAGCCTGAAAATTTGGACTGGGATGAATTTGGCACTGATTTATATTCAATTCCTGATCAACTGCCTGTTCAATCGAGCAACATGATTCCAGAGGCTCCTCCAACTAACAATGCTGACGAAGACAGTAAGATTAAGGCCTTGATTGACACTCCAGCGTTGGATTGGCAACAGTGAGTATTTATCCTCCTTTTTGTTTGGTCCATAGAATGGAGATGAGTATAATAATCAATGGGTGCATAAAGAAAACAAATTATATTTCAAATTCATGTTTTCTTACCAATTGAATGTTATGTTTGTATATCTAATGATGAGTATAATAGATGGAGTGGGCTATATTTACTATACAATATGTTTTGATATTTTATAATGGAATGGATAAAATTTTTCATTTCATTGTTTTGAGAAGCTTACCAAATGGATCATAACAAACTAATTCTACCCCATACTCCCTCATCTCTGACTCATTCCATTTCGCCCATCAAGTGGAATTACAAACCATAATTTAGTTCTTCCCTTAATATCATTATATTCTGATTTCCTTTGTTCCATCGAATCCAAAGATAGTGTACGTAAACCTCATTCTCAACGAAGATGTATTTCCCTTGTCAAATATAATTTTCTTTCCATAAAAATGCTAGTTCTGTGCTATATGATGTTTTACACTGACACCTATGTTTTTTGTACGCAGTCAAGGTTCAGACTTTGGCCCTGGTAGAGGTTTTCAAAGGGGCATGGGTGGACGGATGGGTGGTGGGCGTGGTTTTGGTGATTCTCTATCTCTATCTATTATATATAGAAGGCTTCTTTGAGTACAAAATCTTAATCTATTCATTGACTAAATGCTTATACACTTTCTTGGGTCTGGCAGGTTTGGAGCGGAAAACTCCTCCAGAAGGATATGTATGCCATAGATGCAAGGTGCCTGGTATGTTCATATTTCTGAACTTCATAACCCTCCTGTTTACACAATGCTGGATTCCATTGTCAGTTTATTTGGCTTATTTGTCTCTTATTACATTTTTTAAGGACATTTCATTCAGCATTGCCCTACAAATGGTGATTCAACTTTTGACATAAAAAAAGTCAGGCAACCTACTGGTATTCCTAGATCTATGCTGATGGTAAATCCACAAGGTTCCTATGCTTTACTAAATGGTTCAGTAGCTGTTTTGAAGCCAAATGAGTGAGTACATCTTGATTCTTCATGTCAGTTCTGTTATATGTTGACATCAAATTGAGTTTCATGTTTTCCTTACAAACAGGGCTGCTTTTGATAAAGAAATGGAAGGGTTGTCATCTACACGTTCAGTTGGTGATCTACCACCTGAGCTCCACTGCCCCTTGTGCAATAATGTCATGAAAAATGCTGTATTGACAAGCAAGTGTTGTTTTAAAAGCTTCTGTGACAAATGTAAGTTTTTTTTTTTTTGTTTCTTTAGATGGTTTTCAGAACGAGTATTTCCAGAGGTCCTCTTCATTAAGCAAGTACTGGACATTTTAGATGTTTTGATTCTCTACAACTTTTTTTCCTGAACTATATATACTCAATATAATTTTTATTTTATATTGAATCATTCTGATTTTTTCTTCTTCAGGTATTAGGGACTATATTATGTCCAAGTCTGCTTGTGTATGCCATGCAAAAAATGTTCTTGCAGATGATCTCTTACCAAATAATACGCTTAGAGATGCCATCAATCGCATTTTGGAGTCTGGCAATGGCAGTACTGAAAATGCTGGGAGCACTTACCAAGTTCAAGGTGATTGAAACAATCATGATTTGAATTTTACTTGCACAATTATAGGCTCCATGCACAATTATAGGCTCCATTCGTCAGGATATACGTTTTTTACTTGACTTTGTTTTTCAGATATGGTGTCTTCTCGTCGTCAACAGCCCACAATACCTTCTCCTACTTCATCTGCTGCCTCTAAGGGAGAACCAAAGGCTTTACCAGTTAATGAAGAAATAACAAATATGCAGGAAATAGCTGATGAAAGAAAGCCTGTCTCTACACAGCAGGTATCGGAGCAAGTGAAGATTCCTAGAGCAGCTGATGTATCTGAAGCTACTCATGAGTCTATGAGTGTGAAGGAACTAGCCACGCAAGGGAGTGCTAAACTGGTCGAGGAAGAAGTACTGCAAAAAGTAGTTCCTACTGATGCAGGTAATGTTGAATGTGCAATATAATCATTTGTTCTTTATTGATTTTCTGTTGAAGGCATTGTCGTTTTATTTATTTTTTTGCAGGAAAGAAAAAGAAAAAGAAGAAAGTCCGTATGCTAACAAATGGTAAGTCTTCTGTTTTTTCTGACATGGCTCTCAGTATCAGTAATTTTTTCATAGATCCTGTTTCACATACTACTAGAACATTTAGTGTACCAGGGCAATCCATAGGATTTTAGTCTAGTAATAGCATTGAATGATTTTTATTTAATATGCAGATTTACAATGGAAAACTCCTCATGACTTTGGCGTAGAGAACTATATGATGCCAATGGGCCCACCACCTCCTAGTTATAATCCATACTGGAATGGCATGCAACCTTGCATGGATGGATTTATGGCACCATATGCTGCTCCAATGCAAATGATGAGTTATGGCCCAGGCCCATTTGACATGCCATTTGCAGGTGGTATTTCTCAAGACCCATTTGGCATGCAAGGATACACGATGCCTGTAGTTCCACCTCATAGGTATGACTTCAGCCTTTCCTCTGATATTGCATCACATCCCCTTCTCTCTTCTCTCTTTCTCTCTCAAGACCCATTTGGATTATAGAGTGAACACTGATAGTAAATGTGGTTTGCATGTTTGTCTGACTATAGATTGATTGATACATTGTTCTATAGATGCCACTTTGTAATAAAATAATTATGACTCCGTTCAGGGATTTTGCTGAGTTCGGTTTAGGGATGAATGATCCACCACCTATTATGAATAGAGAGGAATTTGATGCTCGGAATGCTAATCTGAGGAGGAAGCATGAAAATGAGAGATGGGGTGAAAGGTACTAATGGAACTTTTCTTGGGTGGCTTTGTTTTGTTCTGATATGCATGTTTAGGAAGTTTGATAGAGTTTAACTTGTAAGTCAAATATTTGTTCATTTGTAAAATAGCAACATTTAAGATATTATCATCTGGATTTTGTATCTTTTACTTTCTGTATGAAGTTTCGAGTTCCTACTTTTTCGTTTTCCAACATGGGGTATTGGCAGTTTGTTTGGAAATTTATTATTCTAGAATGAATTTTGTTTATTTCACTATGGAAATTTATTATGCTTGAAAAAGAACATATTGTGGATTTTGGTAAACTGCTTTACACAAGATATTTTTCCTTATCATTCATTACCTAGTGAATTTACTTTAAGTTATGTTTGACAGAGTAACAAATTCTAAATGGATGATCAGTGTCATCATGACTCTTTGCATGTAGTTATGTAGTGCTTGCGACTCATCCATGTTTATTGTCTTATTGCTTTTAACGAGTTTATTACCTACATGGAACAGGGACTTCTCCAAAGACCGTGAATTTGGTAGGGAGGTGAGCAGTGTTGGGGATGTTTCTTCGATCAAATCAAAAACAGTATGTACTTTCTATTGTCTTAATTTTCAGCTCTCTTTGTGGACTTCCATGCGGTTTTAATTTTTGTGGATTTTCTACCAAAAGTTTGGCCAGAAACCCCAAACATGCAAAAGCACATCGTTACAGTAGTAGACGTATACTATTTTTATGTCTTGAATTGTTGTAGTCTTTGGAACTTTTTTATTTTGGCTTCATTTATTGATGAAGATAGTTTTTTTAATCAAATTTATGCTGTGGTTGTTTATGAAATGGTTAAGAGAGGTTATTCGGGTGTCCCACACTTATTTTATGGTCAACATCAAGTAATGGTTAAAAGTTTGTTAAAACGAAAATGATGGTGATTGAAATATTGGATAGCTGCATATGATAGTGGCGCAATCTCGTGAAAATCTCTCTCGTGATAGTTTATCGAAACCATGGTTGATGGAAAAGATTTGAACCATAAAAGTTTCAAATCACTAGGACGGTAGATCTATCTTTGCAATTAAAGCATTTTGGTCTGTAACAGCGTAATTTAATTGTTTCATTTGAGTATCATGGTTTATTTTTTCTGCATAATGGTCCCCATAGTTTTCCATGTTCACGTATGTGGCTGTGGGGAATAAATTGGTTCATCAAGTTTGAAATTCCTCATATTTTTGATAATTTGATGTCGATTTTAGTTGTCATGGCACTCCTAAGTTAAGTTTTATTATTTTATTTTATATATATATCAAAATGAATTTTGGGCGCCCAAAATTCATTTTGATGAAACCAATGAATGAAAAAGCTAATGGCAAAGTTTGCTTAAAATTTATAAAAGATAAAAGATACATATCATTCAGAAAAACATGAATTCAATTAATTGGTGTGTATTAACCCTTGGAATTGTATTACACACTGCAACTATTTGCGTAAACCCTCAACTAACTAAACAAATGGAGTCGGTTTGATTATTTTGGGTGCAGCGATAATGTACCCAATCTTATGATAGACAAGCATGATTTCATAATCAATTTAAAATTATTATTGTAATAATCTTTGTTAAAGCTAAAAAATACTAAAGTTCCTAACGCAAATATAAAAACAAAAGCCACAAAATTGTGTCGAAATCCAAGTTCCTAACGTAAATATAAAAACAAAAGCCACAAAATTGTGTCGAAATTGTCAAGACATTAATGGGTCATAAAAAGCTAATGGCCCAATTGTGCTTTTTCTTTACTGTGCAGAAATCAAATCCACCGTTATCAGGTGCCTATTCCATTTCCCATCAACGTCAGCAACAGTCAGATCAGAACCATAGATCAGCTGGCCACTATTCCAACCGCAACCACGAGGACAAGCAATCACATCCTCATAAATCAAAATCAGAGCAGCATTCCGACCGCAACCACGATGATGAGCGGCACAGCCACCACAGCAACCACAGACCAGAAACCACATACAACGATTGCAAGCAGAAGAACATCTTTTCTCGCATAAGCTTCCAAGCCGAGGAAGAAGCTATTGCTAAAAAGAAAAAGAAGGCTTCCACAATGCAATCATCAGCCACTGCCTCAATGGAACACGTGTCAAACGGCTACTATGATGTGAGACGAAATGATAATGATTGTAGCGATGACGATGACCGGCATTTCAAACGGAGACGGTCGAGGTACGAGTTAGTGGATTCAAGAGACCGGAAGCATAGGTGATAGATTTTAGATATATTTGCTTAAACTTAACTCATCTCTTCCAACACATAAAATTAACTCGTTGGATGCATTTTCCTTGAAATTTCTATTATTTCGGCACTGTAATTTTATGCAATTTTAATTCAAATGTATTGATTACGGGTCGGTTTGTTTTAGTTTTAAAAAAATATTTATTTTTTATATTTTTGAAAATAGATTTTACAAAAATATTTTTTTAAATATTAAGAAGTTTTTTTAAATTTGTGTTTATAAATTAAAAGACAAATTTTGATTTAGTATAACGTAATAATATATATTATTGAAGAATAAAACATAATCAAAATTATGGTTTTTTCTTAAAAATTGTATTTTAAAAATGATTTTTATGAAATAACTTCAAAATTAAGTGTTATTTTAAAATTAAATAATTTTTTTTTGATTAAATGATGAAATATTTAAAATAATATTTTAAAAATAATTATTTTAAATCAAATTTTATTTGAAATTTTTATAAAAAAATTTTTTATAAAATTTTTTTACACTAAAATATGTTACGCTATAAAATCATTAAAAGAAAAAGCTTAAATAAACAGGCCCCAGGCCCTATGTTTTGCTTCAAATTCATCTCTTTTAGTTTTTTCTTCTTTCGTCATAACTATAATTATGACTTTAATTTCTTTTTCTGTTATCATGTAGAGCAATTATAAATTGGTTTTTATAAAGTGACAACAAATTGAATCAATATCTAATTAGAATATAGACAAAATATCTTTTTTGTTCTCTTAATTATACCTCAAGATTTATTTTGGCCCCTAAATTTTAAAAAAGTCTATATTGGTCAATTAACTCTTTAAAACGTTTTATATTAGTCTTTTTTTTTTTATCTTATTAGCGACGGAAAAATTCAAAGTTCAGTCGCTAAATTCGTCGCTAATTAGACAAAAAAGACTAATTTAAAATGTTTTGAAGAATTAAGGGACTAATAAAGACTTTTTTTTAAAGTTAAGGGACTAAAATGAACCCCGTAGTATAGTTAAGGGATCAAAAATAGTATTTTGCCTAGAATGTATTTACCAGAGTGTAATCCGTGCAACTATTATTACGACTGTTATTGTATTTCTCAAGTGATGAAAAGAAGCACCCTTAAAAACCATTTCATTCCTACTACTTCAAATCCACCAATAAACTGCAAACCAAACTGATTTTGAAATGAAATATCCAACCATAAAATATCTTGTCTCATACTTGTGATACTTTCCTACATTCGACAAATAGATGAGCAATGAATTCGACTTCAACCAAACAGAATGGACATACCATAATATGAGTTCCGAAGATGATTTCTCTTGTAGCCAGAGCTACTCTAGTTGGTAATCGATTCAACAACAACCTATAGCCGAAAATCATAATTTTGCACGGTGCATTTGTGATCCAAAGCCTGTTCAACATCTGAATTATGTTGTGTTCAACCTGCATACCATAATCAACAACATCAGCAACAACCTGATAGCAACTTTGTACGAAAAAACCCATCCTGTTCCTCCACTAAGTGAAAGTGTCTTCGACCTACGACTTCAACTGAATTTTCTACAAAACGGACATCAGTGACTCTAATTATGATTTTTCTTCCACCTGTAACAGCAAGTTCTCAACAACTTTAACTTCTCGAATCCACTTATTTTCCTCCCAAAAAACCACGTCTTCATCTTTATGTTTTGTATGCTCCGCATGCACGTAAATGAGAGGAAATAAAGTGCGAATAGGAACATGACCCAACCATTTATTGTTCCAAAATTCAACAGACCTCCTATTACCTAATTTACATGAAATGTTGTAGGAAAACCAACTGCAAACTTTTCCCCGCATGAAGCCAACTAGTGATAAATCTCTCCACCATAGTGAATCTTCTTTGCTTAACGACTGCTTATTTTCATCAATAACTTTCACCTTAATATCCCCACATCTCATTGATAATAATGTAGGCCAAATAACTTTCGGTTTGTCGAGAATGTGCCACTTCCATTTTCTTAAGAGTGAAAGATTAAATCTCTCGCAATGTTTGATGCCTAGTCTTCCTTTATATTTTGGTTTACAAACCAATAACCAACTAATCCACGCCATTTTCCTCTTCTTCGAACAACCCCCACATAGGGAATTCAGTTGAATACGAATTATATCTTGTATCACAATTTTAGGTGCCTTGTAAAACAATAAAGTGTAGATTGGAATTGAATTAAGAAACAAATTTATCAGCGCCACACGCCCTCTTAAAGAGAGATATTTTCCCTTCAACTTAGAAAGACATCTCCTAAGTTTTTCCAACACCGCTCACCAAGTGGTTATCCTCTTCGAGTTAGCTTCTATAGAAATGCCCATAAACATAAACAAAATACTTCACATGCCAAGAACGTCGAAGCAGCCTCCATAAAACCTTGTTTGAGATTAATACCAATCACCTTTCTTTTGGTGAAGTTTACACTGTTAGAATAAGATTTGGTTCTGCATCTGGCCTTTAGTTTTAATGATAACAATACATTGTTTCTTAGAGAAAAAATTTATACACTAACGATTTTGTATCTAATGTGTAGCTTTTTCTTAACAAGTTCTGACTCTGAAGCTTTGGCATGTGATGTCATCAGACTCTAGAATCGTATGCTTTGATTCTAAAGAGATACAAGTGCTTTACAAGATACTGTCAAGTTCTAGAAACCTCTTAGACAACAGTTCTGAAGAACGTTTGTGATAAAGCTTCTGACTGTGACTCTGATTAAAGAGCCTTTGAAGGATTGTCTACCTTCAAGATTCTGCGCTCAAGTTCTGATGATTCTGAAGAACAAGAACACTTTTGAAGTTGCTGGTGATTTTGGAGTCAAGAACACTTTTGATTCTGAGGAGTATATTCTGAAGGAGTTGGAGCATCTGGCTGCAGAGAGTTTTGAAGTGAAGGAAAGGACGTCAAAGATTTAAGGGCCACTTGGAGAGATCTTATCAAGACTACCTAAACCCTTTTAAACCTTAGTTTTTAAAACTTTGTGTTATCTTTGTTTTATTCTCTTTTTGTTTCATTTTTGTATCTGCCTATTTATTTAATGAAATGAAGTTTGTTTGGTTTACTTTGTCTTTTTACTCCTTTCTAAAAACCCTATCATGTTTCTAACAATTTTTCTAACTTGGTATTCTTTCTAAGAACTTTGTGATAGCTCATCATTTTAACCAAGTGTTTCAGGTTCCATCCTAACTGAACAAATTTCATAGGATTCTGAATTTTGTTTAAGGAACCAAGTGTTCTTTTAATTAAAGGTGAACCAAGTAAATAGAAACCAAGCGTATAAACCAGATAGTTACAAGCTCTGAATAAGACATAGTTCTGAAACATGTGTCCTGAACAAGTTATGATTTCCACCAGAATCAAGTTATACAATCTGGCATCTGAATCCAGACTATGAAAACCAGATCTTCTAACACTCAAGCAAAGGACTCTGAAGCAAATACTTATGTACCTAAGCTGTTGCATTCTGGGTAGTTACCTCAACCATTTCGACCAACTTATGCCTTACGGGAAGAGAGTAACAAGGTTTTTGTCTGATGAGAAAACTGTAACAACCAGGCTTCTACCTTATGGGAAGTTATTTCTTTCATGTTCTTTTAAAAGTTTTATGTGTTAAGATTATTTTAAGTATTAAATTCAGGGGGAGCTTACAAATCTAACTCTGACATTCTAAACTGCAAAATAATTTTTAATAGTATAAAATTCAGGGGGGAGCTTAAAAAACTCACTCTGATCTTCTTTTTATGTGATAAAACCCAATAAAAATCATTCATCAAAATACATGGTTTTGTCATCATAAAAAAAGGGGAGATTGTTATAATAAGATTTGGTTCTACATCTGGACTTTAGTTTTAATGATAACAATACATTGTTTCTTAGAGAACAATTTTATACACTAATGGTTTTGTGTTGAGTGTGTATCTTTTGCTTAACAGGTTCTGACTCTGAAGCTTTGACATGTGATGTCATCAAGCTCTGGAGTTAACACACTCTGACCCTGAAGAGATACAAGTGCTTTACAAGATGCTATCAAGTTCTAGAAAGCTCTTACGTAACAGTTCTGAAGAATGTTTGTGCTAAAGCTTCTAACTGTGACTCTGATTGAAGAGCCTCTGAAGGATTGTCTACGTTCAAGATTCTGCGCTCAAGTTCTGATAATTCTGAAGAATAAGATATGAAAACTCTGAAGATCAGGTTCTGAGAAACTGTGTCAAGACTCTGAAGACCAAGGTTCAGAAGATTCTCTCAATTATCTCTTGATCCTTCTAAGAATGCTTCAACATTATCAGAAGTCTCTGAAGATTAGAAGATAAGTTTGAAAATGTTTTGCATAAGGAAAATCATACACAGTACAAGATCGTCCATCTCTCCACTACCCTGATTTTGTGGGCGAATGACAACACTATTGTACCATTTTGCCTCTCATTTGCAAACTGCTATGAAAGAGACAACTTCTATTTGCAATTCCAGTCTTACTTTCCAACAGATATTTTATCTGCATATATAAAGAAGAACTAGATGATTGGAAGAAGTTACTAATGCCCAAGCTAACGCTGATAGTTGCTCATTTCTCACGCTATTAAACATACACGCTTTGCTAAAGTAAATATCAATTTTGTGCATATTCTTTGTAAACACACAGAGTTATTGATTATTATTGTGTGAGATATTCATCGTATTAAACATGTGTTAATATGCTTTCTAAAAAGCATTCTATTTAAACATAACTTGCAAATCTCAATATTGTTTGAGTGGTTTTCCTTGAGTGACTAGGGTCTAGTCAAATATACTCGAGAAGAGAAAGACAGTTGTATTTATGGTGTCTGTAATTAGTTTCGGTTATAGTGGATTAAGTCCTTATTGAGAAGAAAAAATCACCTTGGTAGGGTGGACTGGAGGTAGCTTCGTTAACAGCAAACCGGTATAAAAATAAGTTGTTATTTTTATTGTTCATGTTATTGCTTGTTGAGTTAGTTTGGAAAAGCTTTGGTTTTTTAGAAACCCAATTAAAACACCCCTTTCTTGTATTTTTCGTCACCTTCAACACATCCCCAACGCCAATTTGAATCCTCTCAACATTGCTTTTATAGACCACAGATTCTGCCACAAGCCTTCTCCAACAATGATGGTGTTGTCCATAAATTGTAATATGTTGAAACTTACCTCGTTTGAGGATTTGAAAGGCTCAAAACTATCTTGTAGTATGGCATTCTACATTAAACCATAAAGACCTTCAGCTGCTAACAGAAACAGGAAAGGTGACAAAGGATCGCCTTGTCACAAACCTCTTTCTGCCTTGAAATCTTTAGTTAGGCTACCATTAAATAGAATCAAAATTGAACTATAAAATATACATGTTTCCATCCACTTCATCCACCTACTTCCAAAACTCATTCTTCTCATTATGTCTCTCAAATACTCCTACGCTAAGCAATCATATGCCTTTTCAAAATCGACTTCAAACAATAAACAATCTTTCTTCTTCCTTTTTGCAAAATCCACCACCTCATTAATCACAAGAACCCCGTGGAGCATTTGTCTACCTTGAAGGAATGCAGATTGAGACATGGAAATTAACCTGTCCATTACCTTTTTTATTCTAACAGCCAACATCTTCACCAAAATACGATACACACATCTTATACGACATATATGGTGATACTCCTTTAAACCTTATGGATTACTCATTTTTGGAATTAAAGTGATAAAGACAACCCTGATAACTTTGGGAAGAACTGCATTCAAATGAAATTCAGAAACACAGTTGACTAAATCAACTTTGATTAACTCCCAACACATTTTGAAAAAACCCATGTTGAAACCGTCAGGCCCTGGTCTCTTCTCACTACCAGAGTTCCATATCACTTCCTTCACTTCTTCCATCATTAAAGGTTACTCCAACATACCAATTTCTGCCTCTGTCAATTGGTTAAAGTTCACCATTGTAAAGTTGGTCTATGCAGTTCCGGCTCATTGAATGTGTGACTGAAATGGTTGAAGATTTTAAGTTTGATGTCCTCTACTTTCTTTAACAGACCCCTATTAGAGTGAAACTCGACAATGCTATTACTACAAAAATTTATTTTCATCACCGTGTGAAAGTATTTAAAGTTGGAATCCCCCTCACGAATCCATCTTACTCTAGATTTCTCTCTAAGTATTAACTCTTTTATATGCAATGTTTTCCACACCCTGCAAGTTTCCTCTCTCTATGTCTATCCGACATTGACTTTGAAACACTCTCCACTGATTTAGCCACTTGAGTATCCAAAGAATTCAGCTCTGTTATTGCCTCTTCCACCTTCAAGTTGATAAACCCAAATACTTTGTGATTCTAAACTTTCAATTTGTCCTTCACCTCCTCAGTATTTCTTTGAAAAAATAGATCTTATTACCATGGATTGAAACACTACTCCACCAGCTCAAGACAAAAGGAACAAAATCTAGGTGTTCATACCAACAACTAACTATTTGATCTCTCAAAAACAAATTCGCTGCTTAACGTAGCCAGTTATTTAAATTTTTCTGACAGAGCATGACATTAAACGCCAACAATAATTTTTTATATATTTTTCTTCTTCTCTCTTCTTCATAAATCTTAATCATATTGATCAAGTAAGTTTCTAAATTTGAGATATATGAACATGGTTGGTTTTGGTTTTTTAATTTGATTTTAAAAATGGTTGATACAAGGTTAACACTGCATCATTAAGTTAGAGAGAAAAACTGACATGTGAATGAGAAAAAATTTGAATATCCACTGACTTTCCTTATTAAATAGGAGAAAATGTTAGCAAGTAAAAATTCAGAGTGATTGATAAGCCGCAGGTTCATGACTTTTTTGATTTTAGGGTGTTATTTATTACTACGATGTTTATCAGCGACACAATCAGTTTGTTTGCGTGTAATTGAAAAAAATAACAATTTAGTTCAAATTTAATAACAAGAGACCGGAATGTGATTTCCATCTACTATTCTTACTCATGTAAATTGCAGCACTTTATTTTGATGAGAAAACTATTTTTAATATAAAAATTAATTTAAATGTATCGTTCGCTTTCTCGTGTCTGTT